CGCGGGGCGCGGGCGCGAGCGGCGCGCGGGGAGGCTCTTTGTTCTGTAATCCCAGTAAGATTGCCAGCCATTCGCCCCGGCCCTAATCCCAGCCCCGCGCAACACCACCCTCCATTGGCTGCCATTTACATACGGGATTAGCCCGCCCGCCCCAAGCCCCAAGCCCCAAACCCCGGCCCGGGCACCGCGCGTCCCCGGCCCTGCTTGTGAGACGGCGCCCCAGGCCTCCCGGGCGCCAGATTAAGCGCGCTCCCCCCCAAACCTGGGGCGCAGTGGGATGGGGGGAGGGCCAAGGTCACCCGGGGAAGGATCCCAGGGCGGGAGACCCTGGAGAGGCCCTGGTCTGCTCCACTGGGCACCCACTCGTGCCGGGCCTGAGTTGCTCCGCGTCGCTCTCGGGCTTTGTCTCCCGGGACGAGGCATGCCCAAGGTCGTAGCAGAGGCCTGTATTTTGTGCCCAGCTCTCCTTCTGATCCCCACGCACGCTTTTACAGCCCGCATCCCATACCAGCGACTGGGGGGCGCACGGTGTGGGAGCGCTTGCGGCCCCTCCTGTCCCAAGCCCTACATCCTAATCACACGAAGGCTGCTTCTCCCCAGAAGGGCCGAGTCTGGGGCTGGGCCTGGGCTCGGCGTGGGGTGGAGGACACATTCCAACAGACCCCTGCCCCAGGGGGCGTGGGGCCCAAAGAATGTGATCAGGGGACCCAGCTCGGCCCACGGGTCTCCGCGCAGCCTCGCGGAGAGGAGCACCCGGATCTCTCCTTTCCTTTCAGCAGCCCGGCAAGGGTGGGGGGCAGAGGGCAGGATCAGGGACACGACCACTCAGAGGCCCCGTCTGTGTAGCCTCTCAAGCCACAGCACTCCTGCTTGGAGCTAGGCTGGTTTGGCCTAAAGGCTGAGACGAATCGCAAGGGGCTGGAGCCTGGCTGTGAGTTGGAATCCGGGTCTTCCCCTTCCCACAGTGTGAAGTTGGAAACCCAGTTCCCCTCTGAGCTTCCCTTCTGCCTTCCCGCAGCATCTGTCATTGTGACCTCCATGGTGGATAAAGTTGGCATCTGTTGGTTGCCGGGCATCTGCCAGCCAGGCATGGTGGCGCACACCTGTAATGCCAGTGCTCCCGCAGGCAGAGGCAGGAAGATCTGCAAACGAGCCCAGACAGGGCATTTTAGCCACTCAGTAAACCTTATCTCAAAATTAAAATTTAAAGAGGGGCTGGGGGGGGGGCAGAGAGATGGCTCGGTAGAATAAGCGCTTCCCTGGCAAGCGCAAGGGCCTGAGTTCAATCCCCGGTTCCGCCAATAAATAAATAAATAAATATTAAAATAAAAAATAAAATAAAGAGGGGCTGGGGAAAAATAAATAAAAGGGACGGGGGATGCAGCTCAATGCGAAGCCCTGAGTTCACTCCCCAGTGCTCTAAAGTATACAAAGTAAATTTTAAAATCTCGACCTCATGCCTCGCTGGTAGGCCTGGTACTCCGGATTCCTAGTTCAGACACACTCGGTCTGTTCAGCCGCTGCTTGAGGGTCTCTGGAGTCCTCCTGCCCCTGATTATGGTGTCCTGTTCCATTTGTACTGGACAGGAGGAGCCGACCCAAGGCACGCCTGCGTGAGCCCCTCTGGAGGAAGCCGGTCCCTAAAAGAGCTGGCTGGCCCGCTGGGGTGCAGGCAGAGCCTGTGCCACCCCAAGTCCTCAGGCCTGGAGGCGCGGAGGCCTGCGCAGGCGGCTGCTCCAGGGTGTGTGCTCAGCGCTGCCCTCTACAGGCAGAATCTGGCACGGCGCGCCGGGTGGGGGAGGGATGCCGCCGGCCTCTGAGTTAATCTTGCTTCCCAGAAGCGCCAACCAGCCAGCCGCGCCCCCGCCTCGCCCAGGAAGCAGTTGGTACAACTGAAGTTTGGGCCCGGCCGGGAGCGGTGGTACACACCTGTAATCCCAGCCCAATGCGAAGCTGAAGCAGGAGGATTGTAAATTCAGGCCAGCTTGGGCAATCTAGTGATTTACCAAGACGGTCTCAAAATAAAAGATTTTTGACCTAGGAATATAGCTCAATCCTGGGTTCAATCCTCAGCATTTCAAATAATAACAATTATTAATACATTTTATTTAAACTGCTACCTCCAAAACTTTATCATTTCAACATAAAATCGAGATGTTTCACATTCTTTTTCTTGTGCTAAGAAGTCCAGGGTTTTTTTTGTTTTGTTTTTGAGACAGGGTTTTGTTATGTAATTCAGGCTTGCCTTGAACTCCCCATGTAGCCCAAGCTGGCCTAGAACCCATGATCCTCCTGCCTCAGTCTCCTGACTGCTGGGATTGCAGGTTTGTGCTACCGCACCTGGTTCCAGGATTTATTTGACTTGTACAGCATAGCTCCATTTAGAAATTTTTTGTTTATTTTTTGCAGTATCTGGAATAGAACATAGGTTCTTTGCAATGGGCTACACCTCCAACCCTTTTTTATTTTTATGTGCAGGGAGGGTCTCCCTAGGTTTCCCTGGCTGATTCAAACTTGTTATTCTCTTGCCTGGGCCTCCCAGAGTGCTGGAATTGTGGGCACACACCTCCATGCCCAGCTTATGGACTCTCTCTCTCTCTCTCTCTCTCTCTCTCTCTCTCTCTGGTCCTGGGGATCCAACTCAGGACCTTGAGCTTGCCACTCAGGCACTTTTGCCTCCCGTTTATGGATTTTTAAAGCCACAAGTCCTTTTTCCTCTTGTGAATTGGTGTAGAAGTTCAACTCAGGCAGGAGAAGAACCTGGGCTTCCTCTGTAGAAGCAGGAAAGCTCGGAGCTGGCTGCTTTATGCCCTTCCTCCCCACCCCGCGAGAGGCCTCTTAGGCCCCCACCTACACTGAAAATAGTAATAATAATGATCCTACCATCCATTCAGTGCTTGTTCTTTTCATGGTGTGTGTGTGTGTGTGTGTGTGTGTGTGTGTGTGTGTGTCTTTTTTTGAGACAGGCTCTCACGACGCAGTTCAGGCTGGCCTTGAACACACTTTGTAGCCCAGGTTGGCCTCAAACTCCGAATGATTCTTCTGCCTCAGCCCCCCGAGTGCTGGGATTTCAGACGTGCACCACCATGTGCTGCTCAGTGCTTGTTCTAACCCAGGCACAATGCTACTACCCTACAGGTATCATCTCAATTAATCCCAAACGAAGGGATGGTAGTTGTCCATTGCTATAACGAAATGCCTGAGATTATTGACTTATAAAGAGGAAAGGTTGGAAGCTTGGGTCCACAATCAGGGGTAAATAAGGGAGAAAAGCTACTTGCCTCAGAGCCAAGAAGGGGGACCAAAGAGGGAATAGGGTCCCACAGTTTCCTTCAAGAGTGTGTCCCCAATCACCTGAAAGCCTCTCACAGGGCCAGCCATGGTGGTGCACAGCTGTATTCCCAGCACTCTTGGATGCTGAGGCAGGAGAATACAAGTTCAAGCTCATCCTGGACAATTTAGCAACTTTGAGAGACCCTGTCTCAAAATTCAAATATTTTAAAAGGGTTGGGGATATAGTATAGTCCCCACCCAAGAAACAGCCCAGGGGCATCTGTTCTGGCACCCCACCTGGCACTGGGGCTGAGGACCAGGGACAAGCGTGGAACTAGCCACTGCCTGCTACTGAGGGACCTGCTGCTACGTGGGCTCTCCAGGCTCCCTTGGGGCCCACCGCACTCTCCTACTCCAGCAGGAACCCCAGAAAATACCAGGCAGGCTACTGTGCGAGGTGAATTTAGTTACAAGTTAGTGAAGATTTAGGACGACTTCAGAGCCAGGGAAAGAGGGGCCAGAAAGGCATCTTGGAGTAACTTTCCCAAAACGAGGGGAAGGAAAACAGATCCGTGGCAAGCCTGGAAGCTCTCGTCTGCATGCCCTAGGCCCTTGGCACTGCCCAGCATGGCATCCCCACCCTAGCTTTTCAGGCAGCAGGAGGGTACTGGGGACAGAGGACACCAAGTAGCCAAGTGTCCTGTCCCTGTGAACTGGAGCACAGCAAGAAGGGTGTCCATAGGTAGGCATGGAGGGGACATAGATGTAGTCCCAGCACTCTGGGAGGCTGAGGCAGGATGATGTCAGGTTCAGCCTGGGCAACTTAGCAACTCAATGAGACTTTGTCTCCAAATAAAAGAATCAAGAGGGGGGTGGGGAGATGGCTCAGTGGAATAAGCACTTCCCTGGCAAGTGCAAGGGCCTGAGTTCAATCCCCGGTTCCACAAAAAAAAAAAAAAAAAAAGAAGAATCAAGAGGGGCTGGCGACAGACTAGGCTCAAATTTACCATCTTTCTGCCTCAGCCTCCCAAGTAGCTGAGAGGACAGGAGGACACCATCTGGTCTGGCTGCTAAAATATTTGTTTCCTGTTCCAGGAGGGTCCTGCAGGATCTCCCTGACTCCCTGCCGCCCTCCACCCCATCCCCACCCCCAAGGAGGGGTCAGCCCAGGCCTTGAGGTCCTCCTTGTCCAGCAGCCCCTGAAAGCCACCTTTGATGCTGGCCAGCCCAGCCCCTCTTCCTCTGGCTTCCTCCCGCCCTGGCTGGGCCACCCAG